GCAATTCGAAACCACACCAGTGCAAGTAGATAAATAAGCACTGCTTCAGTGGGAAGGTAAACAGCGTTTCCGTGCGCTCTGGCTTCTGTCACGATGTTCTGTTGCGCCAGAAGCGGTTTAGACATGCTGGCCACATGACCCAGAAAGCTGTCTGCAGACAAACACCGGCTTCCTCAGCCTGAACCAAGATGAGCGCTGCACCCCATAGTCGCCTTTGACTGGACTTAACTGTCCAGGGGTCCTTTACCTTTACCTAACCTAGAAAGGAGCATGAGTGCCAGTGGGGCACTGAATTTTAGTGTCACACAGGGTGCCGGTGAAATTTGACAGCCCAATGTCTGCCACTGCTTTGAAGCCCACAAGCTATACAGAGCAGCTCTGGGATATTTTTTTCTGAGTCACAAGAATGGCTGAAGGGCTGAGGCAATAGAGTGTGGTCAAAAGAGCGGCCCTGGGTGTTGTTGGGTCCATTGCCTTTGAGCAGCCTTCCTTGACCCCAGTGTCCTGCAGAAGTTTTGGACTACAGCTCCTATCAGCCCCAGCCAGAGTGGCAAAGGGTCAGAGACTGTGAGAGTTGCAGTCCTAAACTTCTGGAGGGCACCAGCCTGGGGGAAGGCTGCCTTAAGGAATGAAAGATGGCTGCAATATTTCAGCCTGAACTCCACTTTAGCTGGAGGATGCTCATATCACAGCATTTGCCTCAGGGCAATCCTGGGCTGTCAGTGCCAACAACGCAAAGGCACACAGGTGCTTGGCTGCATTTAAATAATGAAACACATCTTAATGGACTACCACCTTTCATTGAAGCAGGGGTCAGTGCTGTACCGTGTCTTATTCGTAGAAGGGGGTGGGGAGATAAAAGAAAGGACCCAACATTTAGGCAGCAAAAACAGCTTCCCCAGCACAATAAAGACGTGTTTCATTACACAAAGTGACTGACGATTTGTGTGCGTCTTCCAGGTCTGGGTTTTGACACTTGCTTTTCTGACCAGAACCACATTGGTGCAGCTGGCTTTGTTAAAAAGAAAGAAAGAAAAAGCAGGCAGCCAGCAACTGGAAATTGAATAACACACATGTTATGAGGTCCTTTGGGCAAGCTCCATGCACATAGCACTTAGGAGTCCTCCTAGATCTCTTCTCCTGGGGCAACAATACTTAGCATGGAAGGTATCTGTTAAATGTTGGACTGAATGCTTACTTCCTGTGTGATTGCCAATGTTCTGCACATGACCAGGAAAAGTAGGAAAATGTCCCTCTCTTGGGACAGCATTGTATATCAGCAGCTGACATTTTGTTTAGTACAGTACATTCTTATAGTAAAATCACTACTACCCTCTTTTGGCTGCCTTGTGTTGATCCTTCACACGATTATATGCAGATTGGTTAAGAATGATATCTTCTGACTATCCAAGGAGAATGTCAGTGAGCAGACATGATCAAACCACCCAGATCTTTGCTGGATCTGAGGAGAGCAGCAAACAATTGCGCTGTTAATTGCATATAGTTGCTTCAATACAGCAATTATACTCCAAGAGGAAGGATTTTCATCTTTGTGAGACAGGCACTGATAATATAACGCCAAGAGGGTTACGTTAGAGATAGCAAGGGTAGGTGAAGGTAGATAGAGAAACACTCACAATTAAAAAAAGATACTGAAATATCTTAAGTAGGCAAAGAACAACAACTATGAAAGAAAACACTAACACCAAAACTTTAAAAGGGTGTAATAGTTGACATGGAAATGGATGTCCTACACAGAATTAGTTCAAAACCTACTTATGTTCAATAGGATATAATCCAGGATACTACCTGGCTTTCACATCTGTAGAGTCTTAGAAATGAATTTTGCTCCTATGACCATAAGAAATACTTACATGGGTGGCTCAAAATATTAAATGTATGTATCATTTTTTTTAAAAAGGATGCCTTTAATTTTACACTTGATTAGCATAAAGAAAGTGTATAAGAAATCTTCTGAAAGATCTAGCTAATGCTGTGGAAATTTTAGAGAAACTTTATTTTAGATTAGTGGAAGTGCAAAAGGATTCTGGAATTTCGGAAACAGGAGTTTCTCAAATATATAATATAATTTTCCTCATGTCCTTCTACATGTCATCTGGGCTTACTGATGGATATTGTGACATGGGCATTGCTGGGAATATGTTACCACCAGTTCAAGAATATCACAACATCAATTTGGTTTTTCCAGTAACATGGAATTGTGCATTGGAAATGGTGGTGCTGGTGTGTGTGTGTGTGTGTGTGTGTATGTAACTAGGAATTATCCTGTCCAGTAGATATAAATAAGGGGTAACTGCTTACTAAGACTTTAAATAGAATGCATATCACTCTGCCCCAACCTGCTTCCCAGGTGTTTCAGACTACAATTCCTATCAACCCCAGTCAGCCTGGCCAATTGTCAGAAATGAAATGGAAGTAGTAGTGCAAAACATCTGGAAAGCACTAGGTTGTGGGAGACTAATGCATGTAAATAAATTAACCAATCACAGGGTCTGGGGGAGAGGTTTCCATATACCTTTTTTATTCGGAAAACAACAACATGTTAGCACTTGCTTAAATACTATGATTATATGTGTGTTCACTGTATGGTGCCAACATTTATCCTTTCTATCTGTTAATCAGCAATACAAGTCAATGTCTTTAAATCCCTTATTTGTTAATATTCTGAACAGAAAATTCTTGGCAGAGTATGAACATAAGAAGAGTCATGCTGAATCAGACCAAAGACCCGTCCAGTTCAGCCACTATGGCAAGCCCTCAAGGAGGATCTGAGAGCAACAGCACTCACCCAACTTGAAATTTGTAGCAACTGGTGTAGATAGAAGCACATACTGCGTCTGACATGGTTCCCTCCACTCATAAGAAGTGGGTTATGAATGTTCACCAACAAGTTGCCTGGAATCATTTGGAAAGTGGTCTTCTTTTTGTTTCCTGGTCAGATTTACTTGGACGTGTTTTTATACAATACACAAGCCAGCTATCAGTCACCTCTGGCACTTTTGGATTGGAGGCACTTTATTCCTTCTCCATTATTTAGTAAATGGCCAGTGAAAATGTGACATGCCAGCCATTTGACATCATTAAATTGCAGTTGCTCTGCAGATCATGTAGCGATAAGCTGGGCAGGGGAAGGCAGAAGGGGGAGATTTGTGATGCAGAGCCCAGGTCAGCCGTGGTTTATTAAGTCCCATTAACCATATGGTCATGATTATAATAAAAGCTTGAGTTATAGCTAGTGACAAGTATAACTCCCCAAACCACGATATATATGTGATAGATGTAGATGGGTGTCAATTCAATAGTACTGATGCAGGCTTATACTATAGCAATCATGTTCATACCAGTCCCAAAGACAAGGAGGAAAGTTACGTGAAATCCCCACTATAGGAAACCCTATGAAAAGCACAACTTCTTCTTTTTACTTTTAAAAGTTCTCTCCCTGTCTGCCTTCTCTCAGCTGAGCTTTCATTTCTGTAACAAAGATCTGGTCACCACTAGATCTTTGTTACAGATAAGATTGTGTGGTGGCAGTATATTACATGGTGTTTCATCTTTATGAGCTTTTACTGCAGTGTGTTAATTTGTGGTGCTCAACGCAGCGCACATGCGCGGAAATCTCCATCTTACATGGAACACACTACAGTCTGAGTCTACCCAGTGTAGAAGCAATCATGAACCACCAATTATTTCACAGAGAGATTGATGGTATCATCTCCTGGGGTGCTATTTGCCAATCCTTTGCATGGCACCAAGTAAGCAAAACAGAGAAAGGGGTTGCCGACAGAGGTCCCATGCAGGGCTAAGGGCTAGAGTGGCAATGTCCTTTTGAAAAATTCCTTTCTTATCACCAACCAAAACATCACAAAGTAGAGAGCAAGCTTTTGGGCCCACCAGAATGTTAAAAATTCTTCATGGGGTGGCAATTTGCGGCCCCTCACACCCACCACCTGAGGCAATTGTCTCTTCCCATATCATGAATTGTGCAACGATTTATGTATTTTAGAATCTCTCTGGTATTTATTTAAGTCACTTAAACTTTGCCTTTCTGTTTTGCAAAACAAAAAAAAACCTTCAAAGTGGCTAAGAAAAGTTAATAAATATGTAGAATCCAACACAATCAAACTTAAATGTGCATACACAAACAGCAGCATCAAGGGTAAACCATGTGTTTCTGTATTCCCCATATCCCCGTGTAACATCGGAAAAGTGTCCTTGGGCATCTTACCTAACAAATAATACTCTCCCAGTATGCTTCCAAGCACAATTCAAAGTGTTGGTGCTGACCTGTAAAGTCCTAAATGGCCTCTGTCCTGTATACATGAAGGAACGTCTCCACCCCCATTGTCCAGCCTGGACACTGAGGTCCAGTGCTGAGGGCCTTCTGGTGGTTCCCTCGCTGCGAGAAGTGAGGTTACAGGGAACCAGGCAGAGGGCTTCTCGGTAGTGGCGCCTGCCCTGTGGAACGCCCTCCCAGCAGATGTCAAGGCAATAAGCAACTATTTTACTTTTAAAAGACAACTGAAGGCGGCCCTGTTTAGGGAAGTTTTTAATGTTTGATGCTGTATTGTTTTTAATATTCGGTTGGAAGCTGCCCAGAGTGGCTGGGAAAACCCAGCCAGATGGGCTGGGTATAAATAATAAATTATTATTATTATTATTATTATTATTATTATTATTATTATTATTCGGTTACTGAGCTCAGGTAAGAGAAACACTTGAATTACTTCACACATGCTGTATAAAGGTTGGGTATTTTTATTATCATACCATGTGGTTCCTGCCCCCCTAAGGGGCACTATTGACGCTCTTTCCCTTTATCTGATGATAAACAGTGATGTTTCTTCCTTTCCTTCAACAGGATTTCTGTTTTATTTAACTTTAACAAAGCATTAAGTCCCAGGTGTGAGTCTTACCCACCTGTATCCTCTCACAACATCCGTCTGAATCAGTTCCTCCTCTTACTGTGTTATTTATCCCCATACAATGGAGCTTGGTGGTATAGCAGCTGCCTTGCATGCAAAAGGTACCATGTTCGATTCATAGCATTTGTAGGTTGGGCTGGGAGAGCCACTGCCAGGTAGCGTGGACCAAGGATATACAGTACATCCTTAGACCCAGGGAGATCAGATGTGGACCTCTCAGCCTATCTGGCCCTCTCCTGGGCCACACGCCTAATCAGACCTGTTTCATACCTTCCTTGATTATATTTCACCCAGCTGAAATGTGTCCTCAAACTCTGATTGTGCCTCTTCCTTGCCCTGGATGGAGGGCAGAGAAGGGCCTCACTGGATAAATGTAAACTATATTTGTTGGTCTACTGTTTTTGCCCATGGCCCCACTCACTACTGGCTTGTGGTCCTCAGAAGGTTGCTTAGATATGGCACTAGGCCGAAGAAAGTTTCACCATCCTTGGTGTAGACAGTATGGACACAGCTAGCACTTTGGAGACTCATGATCACTTTGTTGATGTTGCCAAGCCTACTACTTCCAGGTTTACCCAGAAAAGGACGAGAGCTGCATAGGCTACCCACCACTGCATATAGCACCCCAAAATATTAAAGAATAGCTGCTTACTTTTTCTTCAAATGTAGACATATATAGTGCCTCTAAGCAGTGCCTTCTCCAATATTACTTTGTTTTAAAGAAGTTAATATCAAAGTGCCCATGAACATGCACAAAATGTTTCTTCTCTTTGCTAATGGTGGCAGTGTCTGGTTTTTTAACAACTGGACCTGAGGACACAGTGCCATAGAGCATATGAGGAATGCCTCTGAGGATGGGAAGCAGCCTTTTGCAATAAATAAGATTAGCCAGAGGTATGATCACATAATACTCCCATTCACCCTCGCCAAACACAGGCACGGTACTTGCTCACGTTTGGACACATTTGCCACCCAGGTCCTCAGAATCCTGACCCTTCTTTTGCCATTGCGATATTCTCACCCTTCTGCAGCAATAAGAGGCTCAAACTTTGGAGGGCCTCTCGAAGCTTTCTTGGGCTTCTCTTCCACCATCTTCTATCTGGAAGCTATAACGCTGGGATCTTGGGGGTATAAATAAGAGTAATTTGGTAAAGACAGCATTGGGAAATGCCGGGCAAGCCCCCCTCCCCCCCATATGACCTAAAAGGCAAGCACTGAAGATAAATAAGAACAGTTCGTGTAACCCATGTGCTCATCTTAACAATAAACAGAATGGCTGTGGAGCAGGGACTTTAAAAGGTTTCTCCTCCGCAAAGATGAATGGTTTGCTGGAGCTGCCTTGGATTCCGTTCTAGGGGGTTAAGTATGAGTAATTGGGTGTTAGAAGTGCTTGCTCAGAATGAGGGCTTGTGCGCACCAGCTCCAGGGGGAAGAGAGCATGTAATGATGGCTTTTGAGTAATTTATTGTTTCGTTTGCTTATTAGCTTGGCATCACCATAAGTCTTCGGTCGCTGCATGTGATGCCTTTGAACTGGAGCCCCGGGTGTGGTACACACTGTGACACAGAGTTTTGATGTGTGCCCCGCAGCTCCCGTAGGATTTCCGCTCTTTGCTCCGTGCAGCTGAGCTGTCCAGAGAGGGATAAATCATCCTCCGTTCCTCAGAGCAAGGCTGGGTTTTATGGGTATTATCTATCATTGTAGGTTCTTCATCTGGACATGCATAAGCTTACCATCTCTCAACATTCAGAGCAGGATTTCACTAGGTTGATAGGATTGAAACATGGAGAGCAGTGGCCCTGGGGGCCTCCCTTGCATTTGCGCCTGGGCCAGAGAATGTGGAATTGGAGGCCGATTGTATGCAATGAATAAACAAAGCCTGGCCTGGGCTACTCTTACGACGATAAGGCAGATCATTCAAGAAGACAAATTCCTAGACTACGGCTCTTGCCAGTGTGATAGCAAACTTCACTTTGGTTGTTTGAGCAGGGGGACAAGTTCTTGCTAGAATATCAGTTTCTGCCAAGGGCCAGTGTGATCCGATGAAGTATGATTATGATTATTTATAAACTTATAAATTATATACTGCCCTTCATCCAAAGATCACAGAGTGGCTTATAATATAAAAATGTGATGGCTTTGAACATGAGAGATTAGAGTTCCACTGTTGTTTGCATCTATCTGTCCGAGAGATGGTGGGATGCACCTCTGGGGGGTGAAGTCAACTGATGGAGAATCACAGCACCTGCTGTAGCTGCAGAGACCGGTAACTCATAACTGCTGCTTCCTGTGTTGTTTTTGCTGTTAGCAGCACTGAAGTGAACTCCTCAGGGCACAAGTGTGTATGGAGATCCTGGACTATCTAGGCAACAAGAAGGTTCTTGGCCTTGCTAATGGAAAGCAGAGCAATAAATTTGGCACCAGTTTGGCTGCAGGAATTGCTCAAAAGAGGCAAACAGGGTGCAGTCCAACCATCTTAAGGACTCCACTACATATTTGTGCAGGGTTAACTCCTTAGTTTTTTCTTCTCCCACAGAAAAGGCAACAGGGATTTTTCCTTGGGGTTTGCTCCTGAAGCCTTTCTCACGAATGAGTATAGCCACAAGGCAGCAGAGGTTTAGGATCAGAGTTTACCTTCTTCTACATGGGCTACCTCTGCAAGTCAATGAGCCCCATCTGACCCTCGTTTCCCTCAACAGCACATGCAGTAGCCACCTTCTTGACTGTTGATCCTGGTATTGGTATTGTCTGCTCAATCTGACAGAGCCTGCCTTCGCATGCAGGTGAAGTTCCTTACTCACCAAGGGTTTGAGACCCATGGACTACCCTCACCTGGGTTAGCCAGACAATTGGAGCCGTTTCCCAGGGTGTGGCTGCTGTTGCATGTTGACAGCTTATAGGAGCCACAGGTGAGAGCTGAGTACAGGATGGAGACCAAGGGTGGACAAACTACCCCCAAAGGAGCATGACTGTCCCCCACCAGAGGTGCTACCCCTCCCCTAATACCCCATATTCCCTATCAATAGTTACATGGCCTTGGGCAGTTTTTAAAGTTACCATTCCTTTTATAAAATGGGCCTAGTTTAATAATTTTCAAATTGTGTTCTGAAATCCTGGCTTTCTTCCATTAGAATATCAATAGTGTTATATAACCTGCCCTGAATAGCTAGCTTAGCAACTACAGCCAATTATCTTCTGTAGTTAAGATCTGCAGGGAAGTGCTAGATGTGTTATCAACACAGCACCATGTGTTCATATAAGGTCATGGTGAGACCAAACAAGCTTGGATAAAGCCTCTCCTCCTTACAGAGGGGAGGAGTTGTGAGCAGGAGCCGTTTCCAGCGTTGGCAGGGGGCGTTCCAGCCCCTGCCCAGCTGGCCTGGCTGCTGCGCCATGCCCCCAGGTAGCCAACCAATCAGGTGGTGGCTTGGGGAGGGGTTTAGCTGCTCAAATACAGCCGCGGCAGCACTTCCCTTTCATTCCACTGCTGGTTTTCGTCGGATCACCCACCCACCCTCCCTTTAGTTCATTGCTTGCTTCTTGACATTGCTATGGACCTGTGGTTGGTCGGCTTGGTTGTCCAAGGGGCCTGGTAGGAATTTTTATCCAACTGGCAAATTGGCACCAGCCTCTTGGTTTTTTGCCTAGCTCGTAGCAAATCATCACAACTTTTAGGTATTGGCGGTTAGGCATTGGAATATGTTTGTATATTGGAGGGCAGGGTGTGGCCATCGCCTAACCCTCCACTTTATGGGTATTCTGGTAAAGGAATCCGGCAGTCGTGGATCCTGTCCAATGCCCTTGCTGGTGGCTAGGGCCATGGCACGACCCCCGGTGACATCAGGGGGAGCTTTCAGTTGTATTTGCATCAACAATCTACCACTGGTGGTTAACCCTTGTTAGACTCACCCCTCCCTGAGGGGGTGGAGTCAAGCTCTGTTGTTTTATCCAATGTCTAAGCCAATACCTCTCACATGCTGTAATCAATAAAGTTGTGGCCTTTTTTAACCCATTAACCTAATATACTGTGTCCATGTGTCTTTCTTATCCCCAAGCGGGTGGCAGGTCCTTGAATCACAATGAGCATGTGCTCTAAAAATGTCGTTGACTTCACAAGGAAGAGCTGTTGTTCAGTGGGATAGCATCTACTTATATGCAGAAAGTCCCAGGTTCCATTCCCAGCACATTCAGGTAGGGTTGGGAGAGACCCCGTCTGAAATCCTGGATGGCTGCTGCCAAACAGTGTATACAGTATTGGTCTTGACGGATCATAAGGCAGATATCTCTTTTCCACAATTCTGTGAGAGATGCAGAAGAGTTAGGGTTAGGGTTGATACCATCCTCATAAGTAAAGGTAAAGGGACCCCTGACCGTTAAGTCCAGTTGTGGATGACTCTGGGGTTGTGGTGCTCATCTCACTTTACTGGCTGAGGAAGCTGGTGTTTTTCCGCAGACAGCTTCTGGGTCATGTGGCCAGCATGACTAAGCTGCTTCTGGCGATCCAGAGCAGCGCACGGAAACGCCGTTTACCTTCCTGCCAGCGCGGTACCTATTTATCTACTTGTACTTTGACGTGCTTTCGAACTGCTAGGTTGGCAGGAGCAGGGACTGAAAAAATGGGAGCTCACCCCATCTTAGGGATTCGAATCGCCGACCTTCTGATCAGCAAGCCCTAGGCTCCATGGTTTAGACCACAGCGCCACCTGCGTCAAAAGTGTCAAAAGTGTGGTCCTCTTTCATATACTTGTACAAATAATGTGACGTATAATACAGTTGTACCTCGGGTTACATACGCTTCAGGTTACATACGAGAACAGAAATTGTGCTCCGGTGGCCCGGCAGCAGCAGGAGGCCCCATTAGCTAAAGTGGTGCTTCAGGTTAAGAACAGTTTCAGGTTAAGAACAGACCTCTGGAATGAATTAAGTACTTAACCCGAGGTACCACTGTACTCTGAAATATAAAAGTGCTACTGGGAGTTTCTCTGTGTGTTTGATAACTGCAAATATTTCACATGGCCAAATGCATGTGGCCATGAGATTGCTTTGGTTTGTGTCCAACACACAACTCAACCTGTATGTATTAAGTCACTGCAAAAGCTACTGGATTAAGGGATCACATGTGAAATGAGT